CGTTTTGCCGATGAAGTCTGTGCTGAGCCCTGCCGCCTCTGTCCTCTCCCCGGCTTTCCCCACAGGAGCTGCCCCGTCGCGCCCGCCTTCCCGCCCGCAGGCAGGCGCGGTAGGTTAGGAGCATGAGTCTCTACAACCTGGACCGCTTTCGCTTTGAGAGGAAGAGAAAAAGCGCGGAGCAGGAAACTGCGTCCCCTTCGGCAGCCCAGGTGCGGGCGGCTAATTCGGCCGCAGCGGGGGGTCCTCTCCCCGGCTTTCCCCACAGGAGCTGCCCCGTCGCGCCCGCCTTCCCGCCCGCAGGCAGGCGCGGTAGGTTAGGAGCATGAGTCTCTACAACCTGGACCGCTTTCGCTTTGAGAGGAAGAGAAAAAGCGCGGAGCAGGAAACTGCGTCCCCTTCGGCAGCCCAGGTGCGGGCGGCTAATTCGGCCGCAGCGGGGGGCGCTGCTGGAGGGGACGAGGATGAAGCTACGGACGATAGCAACAGGCCCGACACTCCGGCTTCCGACGTGACAGAGAGAACCGGTGAGTCAGGTGTTTTGCATGTAGCATAAGAACGCTGTAAGTGCTTCCTTTCTAGAAATAAAATAATCGTTGTCACTTTTTTTTTTCTTCTTTTTGCTTGTTCTCCAAGTGCGCTTTTCTACGCGTACATGTTTCACATCAGTTTCTATACAAGTATCCTTATTTGTAACGGCCCTTGCTCTAATTGAACCTGTGCATTTACAGTCAAGTTGGAAACCTGCTGATAAATAAAGCTGAAAAGATTATTTTTTTTTTCCCAATTGAGTAAACAAGCTGCAACTTAAACATTTCAAGTATGTAATGCTTTCCTACTAGCTATCTTTACTGATACTTTATACTAGCACAGTATCTCAGGGTTTTCAAAGGAAAAAAACCAAGCTTTTAGTTGTCTGGTAAATGCAACACTACGTGGACTTAACTTTTTCACTAGAGTCCTAGGCTAATGCAGTGCGGAATGTCACGGATAAAGCTGAAAAGAAGGAAAAGAGTAGTTTTGTAAAGAGCTGAGAAACCTGCTGCTGATTCTCACAAGCTGGTTGTGTTTGTCCTCTTTTCTGGCAGTAGCTTGTGCTTTTCATGGAAATGTGAAGAGCTTGCTTGTGTAGTAATTTATTGGTTTGTTTGGCTGATACGCTAGAGATGCGCTGCTTCTGTTTGGATTCATCAGTTAATGCTAATAAACAACTGTCATGGCTGTCAGCTGCATAATCTCATTCACCAGTAGCTTTTCTGTTACTGAAGGAGTAAGAATGAAAGAATGCAAATTGTTTGTTGCTGATTATTTTATACATTTTGGACACTCCATGTAACTTCCAATACGTATGTCAAGATACAAGTGTTATTGGAGAAATCAGACAGACTTTGACTGTGCACTTAGTCAGTAATGGAGCAACAGTATCAGTTGGTGTTGTTTAACTACATTTGTTTTGCATACAGCTTTCCCTTGGTGGAAGGCAGTTTATCATAGTACCTTATCTATGCGATAACAGAGAACCTTTCATGTGCAAGGAGGAGTTTCTCTTTTAAAGGTGAGCCAAATCAGTGTTACAGTAGATTGATATTTACTATTCCATGAATTTTGGTTTTGTGCAGGTTGACTGTTTTCAGTTGGCTGGAGTGCTCTCGTGTTTACGTTGGTAAATATCAATTGGTATGTTACAGTTAAAACAAAACATTATAAAAACTGTCTAAATCTTGGCTTGAGAGTTGCTAGCTTGGAGTTAAGTAGCCTGTCCACTCGCAGAGAGGGTGTTTTGGTGGCAGGGAGAACTTAACACAAGAAGCAAGCAACGGTTACGTTGTGGCTTCTGCATATGTGTGCTTTGTAATGGATTGCATGAAAAAAACCTGGCACTCTGTGGAAGAGCACTGTGGGACAGGTGTTGTCTCCCTGTTTGTGGTAAGTCACTGCCTTGTGTGGTGTAGGAGTGACTGAATGCAGGTAACCCTTCTTGGATGGTGAACTCAGACGTGAAGTAATAGATGGTGCTGCTTGTTTTGTGCCTTGATTTGTCTTTGTGGTGTGTGTGTTTTTTAAATACTAGTATTATATTTTTTCCTTTAATCTGCGTGTGAACTTTGTGCCTGGAAGCATGTAGGTAGACCATAACTACCAAGGCCAACAAACTTTGGAGCTTGTTGCTTTTCAAAATACCGGTCTCCCTTGGCTTGTATGCTACAGGGGTAGCACTGAGGAGGAGAAGGAATGTAATATCCGATTTAGAGGCATGAGCATGAGTTTAGACATGAGGTAGTAAAAGGAAAGATGAAGGGCAGCCTAAAGGAGGAACTGTTGTGGAAGGGTAAGTTATTGTGAGGAAAACTAGTGGGAGATGATGGTAGCTACCAGTAAAACAGAGTAGAATAAAAGTGCAGAATAAATTATGGCAACTGGTCGACTTCTAAATAAGAGCCCATGGACACAGATGCTGGTGTAGAACTGGGGTGCTAATTAACACTTAAAACTGAGATGTAATTACTAGCACTGTGCATTTACATAATGCTTCATCTTTCACAGATACTGAGTGTTTAAAGACGGTGGAGTGGTTTGGTGACTTTTTTCACTTATTTGCACATTGTTGTGATGTAACCCTTTTAAAGGAATTCACTAACCATTTTAAAAATGAAATGACGTTTTCTACATCCGTAGAAGTTAACTGAAAATAAAACAGTCAAATTTTGTCTGCAGGATATGAGGCACTTTAACGTAAAAGAGGAAACTAGATTTGATTAGCAGATGCCTGTCCTTGCTTCCTAATTAGCGACAGGAAGACAGAATTTTTCTTGCTTTGGGTCAAATAAAAGGACGGCTATTTGCTTTTTTCTTGTATTATCATGGAAAAGGTACGGAGATAACCAGCTTATGGCACCATGTGCTCTCTCTGCTGCTAAATACAGAACTTAAAGGATGGAGTTGTTTTGTATGAGAAACGGTTTACACTGTTAACTAAGAATAACTTGCCCTAATGCTCAATAAATCATGTGAGAATGAATATTACTCATGTTTCTTCTGAAGACAAATGCAGCAGATTCACAAAATACTGGTACGTGAAACTACAGAAACAAGTTCTTTATTTCACTTATACAAACAAAAAAAAATTTATGTAGCTGATGGCTTTTTTGCCCTGTTTCATTTGGTATCACACACTCATATGTAAAAAGGATTTTAAAATCAGACTTTTTCCTGCAGGAGCACAAATAGCCCAGCATAATTTCCTAGGGATTTCTTTGGATTTCTGTTTTGTAACGTGTCCTGAAATATGTATCTGATGAAAAATATGATTGTTTTAATTTCATTCATCTTGGAAAAAAAATAGTCCGATGATGTCTGTTGTGTCATGAAACACCGTTATCTTTTTTAGCTAATTTTTTTGTTTTGTTTTCCCAGAACAAACTAATATTGGTAGATTGTTCTGCACCCTGGGTATGTATGTATGTAATGCTGCTTGTTGCTTTGTCTTGAACATGCATACCTTACGCTTTAATAAGCAATTCGTAGTATGATGGCCAGAAGATTTGGTCGTCTTTATACACTTGTGTATATTCAAAGTTATGCAGGCTTGCAGTGATTTTGCAGCCAAGTTGTAGGTGGTAATTCTGAACATCACTTAAACTGAGGGGTAGAAGCAACTATGGGGGCAGTTATCAAATTATATCTGAAAGATACCTCTCTAAAGAGTTGGAAAAATGCATTGGAGTGGGTTACCACAATTTTCTGTAAATATTACTATTATTATTAAATAATATGCACATTTGGTTTTTGTTAGTCTGTTAAGAAAACAATTAAGCTATCTTCTTAATTTTCAATTAGATGTTTTTAATTATGTAAATAACCTGGTGTGCTAAGATAATAAGATTATTCCACTTGTAGAAATGGAGCAGAACTGTACTGGAACTATACAAATTAGAATAATTACACTCATGAATTTCAAAATGAGATTTGTATTCAAAAAAAAGCACGCTTACAAAGCTTCAAAAATTAAATAAAAGTTATAGATTAAATTAAACTACTATATATAATCCTGTCACTGATGGTTGATTTTGTTAATACCCTCTCTATACAGTTTAAATATATAACCCAAAGAACTGCATTTTCAGGTGATGATGTTCAGAGTGTCACATCATTCACTTGCACTGGGACTGCTTTTCTTTGTTCTTATCTGTTGTTTTCTTTATGATCTGAGGAAGTCACGTCTTTTGCATGTGTTGCAGTTCGTACTGTGTAATTCTGCTTAAAGCATTTCTGGAAAAAAGTAATGACTGAGGTACCTAGTGAACTTCTGTGAGGATTCATGGGAAGACGTGGTGAAGTAATTAACATTTTTAAATGGTCTCTTTAAGAAGCACCTTAGAGTAACACTGATATTTAGGATTATTTTAGCAAATGAAACAGACTTTACTTTGAAAATGAAATAATTAATTAGCTTGTAGACTTGAGTAGCATGCATTTGATACTGCTTTGCAGAACTAGGTGGAAATTATTTTCCATTTGACAGTATTTGTAGTGTAACATCAGTAAATGTGGTAAGTCTCTAAATATTACCTAAGTTTTGGGTTTGTCTGGGGGGAAGGGGAGGCTGGCTTTCTCCAAGTGTGATATATAGTTTGTGTAGGAGGTTATATTTAGAATTACAGGACAATGTATTATGGCTCTGCACTAGGTATATGCTTCCCAAAAGACTAGTGAGCATGATTTTTTAAAAAAGTATTTTTTTCAAGGTGAAGTTTTTTCAAGAGCAGTTGAAGCTGTGCCTTTACTGGCTAAACTAAATAAAATATTTGCTCTAACGTTAGCAGTGGCATTTGAGTACCTTCATCCATAACTTAACATTGTCTCCATGTAATCATAGACAGTTCTATCTGGTTATTCTCATGGAATCTCTTTGTACTGTAGCAAAACCCAGTTGTTGTTGGGTATTGTTTTTGTTGTTTATGTCTCCAGTTAGGGATATTTGTGTGTTATTATTTCTGTCAAACACTGGTCTTATGATTGCAGGCATTCCTTAATAGTCCTTCTTAATCGCCTATAAACAGGAAATTCTGCCCCTGATTATTACATGCTGTGGCAATAACTGTTTAATCTGTTACTACTCTGCAAGGTTAGAATTTTCTCTAGATATGAGGACTTCTTATTGCATATGTGATTTCTGCTCCCTTCTGCCCCCGCCCCCCCCAAATTTAATAAGGGATTCTGTTCAGTGGAACAGGTAGAGCAGGGGGAGGAACACTTTTTCCAGCCAACGGAGCATTTTGTAGGTATAAGAGTTAGGAGTTGTCATGAAGACTGGACAGTGATTGATATTTAAAGTAAAAATAAAATGAGAAGTCACTAAGTGAAACAGTAAATACTCTTTTTATTTAAATCTAAACCTCTTCCAAGGCTTATATTGTAAAGAATAAAATTATTTTTAAGGTAGCCTTACTTTTGTAAACTTTCCTTGTTTGTTTGTTTGGGTTTTTTTAATGAAATAAGGATGCTTCCTAGCAAAGCTGTCATGAGTACCTGTCATTTGCGTATCATGCTACTTGCAGAGGTATATGTTTGGAATACAGGCTAACCTACAAGGCAAAGATCATGAAAACTGGCTTGATCAATTCTGTTAATTCAGTAGAGATGTGAACTTTGCATGTTTCTTATTTGGGTATTTCCATTCTCATCTTTTTTATGCATCTCATATTTCTGTCCTGTTGTGATAGCTCTTGCTTAGTGAGCCCAACTTTATAACCTTCAGAATTTTTCTGCTTTATTTTTCTTTGCTAGAGAGGAGTTCCTGAAATAAAATTGCCTGCATCTTTATGTTTAAATTAAATAAAAATGTTTGATACATTCCTAAAGGTCTCCCTTGCTCTTCTCCTGCATTCCTCTTAAAACTTACGCAGTTTTCAGATAAAGCAGAGCAACTGTGTCAAGGACAACACATCTTCCAAACATGGATAGATAGAACAAGGTACCGCTAAGGAAGTTTCTACTGCCAACATGTTGGTCTTGGTTGCAGGGAGGCCCGTCTTGGGACAGTATGTTACTGCTTCAGAATTAGTAATTTTTAGGCCTTCTTAAGTTTATACAAGTATGGGCTTTTCAAGAGAACAAGATTACTTTGCAGAGACTTCTGCTTCTTCTAAAAACCATTACCATAATCCTCTGTCACATTTTGAAAGTGATAGAAAAGGTTTAGGTTTTTATGATAACTCAGTTAAAATTGAGGCCTTTTATCACAGACGAAGGAATTAAGACACCACGTAGCTCATGCCTGCATTTGATTATCAGATGAATTTATTCTAGCCTCTTCCTGTGTCTAGTCTCCACTGGCAAATCAGCTTTGAAAACTGGCGTTACGATCGGTAGTAACTTGACTCGGCAAGTTTCCATGTTAGTGAACGGAGGCAGAAGAAACTACCTTTATTTCCAGCCAAAAGTAGGGTTCCAGAGTCAGCAGCTGAGAAAGCACCGCTGATGTTTGGATTATAGGCATGTGAGTTTTAAGAAAGGATAGGTGCGCTAGAAGGGAGAGAATGCCTGTGACGCTGTATTTGCATTACAAGGATGTAAAAGCTTTCTATGTGAGGACTTACACTGACAGTTGTATCACTAAAACTCAACTCTCCCAGGCCTTTTGTAGCTGACTCCCCGGCACCTTTGCTGTGTAATTGTTTTGGACTGTTTTCCTATTCATGATTCAAAGCTCTTTGGGGTAGGAAATGTGTGGAGATTTTTTTCACCCATCCACCACCGCAGTTCAGTGCATATTGCTGTCTGTTGTCCTTCGCTGGGGATCTTAATAAACCATAGCTATTCTTTCTCTAATTTTGGGGTCTCTTCTATCTGTTCCCTCTTGCTCTGTGTACTCACCCATCTTCCTGCAACATTAAGCAGATACTGTCAACAGCAGGGAGCTCCTGTTTGTTCAATACCAGCCACATCGGTGGTTCTGCTGTGTCACGGGGTAAAAGGCTCGTCTTTGCGCAGAGGCATGGTGGTGGGGGAGCCCCAATAACCCAGTTGAAGGAATATCCCCTGCCCTGGCTTCTCCCAGGGCTGTCACAGGAGAGATGTCATCCTCATGTGTTGAGGCCATCACCGTGAGCCAGCAGCAAGGCTGTTGGGAGCGCTGTTAGGCTGAGGGGGGTTGCTCCCTCTGGGGCTGTGGGACTTATTATGAAATGCAGGTAAGAGCTTTTGGGGTTTGTACAAAACTTGCTGTGGGATGTTTAAGGGGAGGAACCGAAGGTAGGGAAGGGGAGAGATCAGAGTGGTTTGGAGAGGAGCAAGTGTGGGGAAAGTAGAGGGATAAGGGGATAACAGGGGTTGGTTACATGCGGACAGGTCAGTGTGCTTGTCTGGCCGCGCCCTGTTTGCGATCACTGTAGTTAGTCCTGTCTTCTCGTTAAAATCCTCTTCCAGCTACCGCCCTGGGTGAGGGGAATCAGTTCTGTGTGCACGGGGGTCTAAGTGCCAGCAGCTGGAGCGAGGACCGGGGGTCCCAGGGGCCCCTGCGTCTGGGGTGCCAGCAGCTGGAGGGACCAAAGCAAGTGGAAAATGAAGTGATGGCCGGTGTGGGCCATGGGGGCTGAGGG